GACCTTAAGTACAGTAGTTCTGAACCCTGATCTGAGACATTTTTCTTGTCACTGACCTACCCCCCTTTCTTCAATCACTGAGTCAATCCATTTCATCCAAGGTCTTCCTCTCTTGTGCTTTTCCTCCACCCTTCCAAGCATGATGTTCATCTCCAAGAACTGGTGTCTCCTTGCATCATGCCCAAAGTATATTAGATGGAGCTTCACCATTTTTGCCTCCAAGGAGCATTCTGGTTGTACCTTCTCCAAAACAAAATTATTGTTCTTTGTTTGTTTACCTCTCTTCTCCAACCTTATAATCCAAAGGCATTAATTCTTCTGTGATCTTTAGTCACTGTCCAGCTCTCAGATGTATAGCAAGTAAACTGGAAAGAGCATGGAATGAATCAGGTACACCTTAGTCCTCAAACTGATGTCATTATTCCTCAATAATTTGGAGAAGTCACTCACTACAGACTTTCCCAGTGAAATCTATAGATTGGAAAGGTGGAGAGTAGGTGAAAGAGCGGAAGACCCTTAATGAGATTTATTGACACAGTAACTGCAACAATGGGATCGAGTATGTCAGAAATTATGAGAATGGCTTAAGATCCATATGGTTGCTGTGGGTCACACCAACTTGATAGCACCTAACAACCACAACCACAACAAATCATGATGTTCTTATCAATCAAGTGGAGAGGATTTTGTCTTCTTTATGTGGAGATGCAATCCATATTGAAGGCTGTAGTCTTTGATCTTCTGTAGCAAGCATTATAAGCCCTCCTCACTTTTAGTGAGCAAGGGTGTGTTATCTGAACAATGCAGGTTGTTGGTGAGTCTCCCTCCTAACCTGATGCTTCATTCTTTTCAGTAGAGTCTAGTTTCCCAAATGTTTTGCTCAGCACACTGATGATGTATGGGAAAAGGATACAATCCTGTACAATACTGATGTACAGTTTCCTTATTTTAAATCACATAACATTCCCTTGCTCTGTTTAGACAGCAGCTTCTTGGTCTAGGCATAGGTTTTATATGCACTTAATTGTTTTGAGATTCCTATCATTGAAAACCACAATGAAATAAATGTTCATCCTCAATGGGATGACTAAGATTTTTAAAAATAAAATATGTTATCAAGAGTGTGGAGAATATTATCTAGCTTTATTTTTTTAATAGATCTCATAAAAAATATCATACCATATATTTAACAATTAAACTAGACTATAATTGCTTTCAAAGGATGGGCATTGCTTTATTCGTTGATGAACCAGCATGCTCTAATCTTGCATGGGACTTAATAAATTTTTTAGTCAATGATTAATGAATGAAAACTGGTTCTGTAGAGATAGAAGTGACTCTTGCTGTTTTACGCTCTGATCAGATATTTCCATTTTCACTTTTATTCCTTTGTCGTTCACACAAATTAACAAGAGCCAAGGGGTGTATTATAGAAACTATCAGGTTGCCCGCAGGATGATAAGTTGAATTTTCCACACTGGAAACACAATGGAGAGAGGATGTAAAAAGAGTGTAGTCAACATATGAGTAGCAGTGTCTTACTGTCATTAGCTCTACGAGGAAGAATAGTCCTCATCAACAACAGCCACTGTACAAAATTGATTTTTATAAGGTCATGGTACTGCATTTACTTTTACCAATTCTACCACTGACAGTCCATCTCAAGAGTTCTCACTGTTCTGCTATGGTTCTACTAATCATTTGCAATGATACCACAGAACTCACAAACACCCATGATTATTAAGTTTATTAGGGAACTTAATTTGATGTTGTTGTTACGTGCTGTTGAGTCTCTTGCCACTCATAGCCACCCTATGTACAACAGCCCTAAACCCTGCTCTATCCTGTGCCAATCACACTGCCTCCAACACACCCATCCCGATTACCCCAGTCACTGAATCAATCCACCTCATAGAGGGTCTTCCACTCCTGTGCTGTCTCTCCACCCTCCCAAGCATGATGTCCCTCTCCAAGGACCTGCCCTACAACATGTCCAAAGAATGTCAGATGAAGCCCCAGAATCCTTGTCTCCAAGGAGCAGCCTGGTTTAACCATCTCTAGGATGAATCCGTTTGTTTTCTTGGGAGTCCATGGTACATTCAATACTCTTCTCCAGCACCACAGCTCAAAGGCATCAATTCTCCTTCTATCCTCCCTAGTCATTGTTCAACTCTTTGATGCATAACAAGTGACTGCAAAGACCATGGCCTGTATCAGAAGCACTTTAGTTTCCAGAGTGATGCCATTGCTTTTCAGTACCCTGGAGAGGTCCCTAACAGCAGACTTTCCCATCGTGATACATTTTTTAATTTCCTGACTGCTGGTGCCAAGAGTGTTGACTGTGGAGCTAAGCAGACTAAAGTTGTTAACAATCTCCATCTCTTCACCATCCATCCTGATGCTAACAATTGGTCCAGTGGTGAGAATCTTTGTCTTCTTGATATTGAGCCTCAATCCATATTGTAGGCTGCAGCAAGCATTTCAGGCCCTCCTCAGTTTCAGGAAGCAGGGTTGTGTCATCTGCATAACGCAGATGGTTGATAGATCTTCCAATGATCCTGATGCAACACCTCTCTTCATAGGGCCCAGCCTCCCAGATAATCTGTTCTGCATACAGGTTGAAAAGGTATGGAGACAGGACATAACCCTGGTGTATGCCCTTCCCAATTTTGAACCATGCAGTGTTTCCTTGCTCTGTTCTGACGACTGCCTCTTGGTCCAAGTATAGGTTCTGCATTAGCACAATCAGGTGTTCTGGGATTCCCATTCTTCTCAGAGTCAACCACAATTTGTTATGACCCACACAGTCAAACGCCTTTGCATAATCAATGAAACACAGACATTGTTCTGGTATTCTCTGCTTTCAGCCAAGATCCATCTAACATCAGCTACAATATCCCTAGTACCATGACCCCTTCTAAACCCAACCTGGACTTAATAGGGAAGTTAATACTGGCTGGGAACAGGTCATAGTTTTTCAGACATGGTTAGCTGTTTTATGTTTAAGCATGTTCATAGGCCCTTTGCTTATCAATCTTTCAGCTTATGTCAGTGTTACAAAGCTCTCTTAGACCTATCAATTATTATGTTTTCTCCCCTATCCTGTAAGTCTTTCAGATAGTTTCAACAAAGATCTCTGGTTCTGGCTCTGACTCCCTTGGGTAGTGCTTCCTGGTTAGCTCTGTCTCATGTTGACCTCAGATTTTTCACTGTTGCTGTTACTCTTGTATAGGTCCTATTCTGACAGACACAAGACTCTATGGTGCAGAAGAATGTGTACTGCATTCTCTGTTTACTAGTAGTCTGCATGTGCATGTACACTACTTGCGTGTTAATACCCAGGAATGTGAAGAAAGTCCAAGACAATGGCCAAGGAAAGCCATTTGGAAAAATAAACTCACTATATCACAATTGCAATGAATCAGAACCAACAAAATTTAGTGAATTTGCTTACCTGTACATAAAAAAGCCCTTGAACTAACCACTTGTAAGTGAAGAAATCCAATTAGTTCAAAAGGAGAAAATAAATATTACTTAAAAATCTAAAATTTTCTTTCATATTTACATCAAGAAAACTTAGAACTATGAGGGAAGAACATTTATAATAACAAACATCTATTTGATTTTAGGGCTTTGCTCACTGAAATAAAATAAAAGCAGTAATATTTCCTCATCAAATTTTTCTAGGGGTTTTGCTGTTGTTGTTGTTTACTCTAGAGTCAGAACCAAAGCATAGCTGCCCCTCTGGTGGGTTTTCAGAGACAGTAAATCACTCATGAGGAGATATAATCAATCAGTCTCCAGTGAAGCATCTGGTGGCCTTAAAATGTGAGCCTTAGGCATTGCAGCACAGCTTCTTAGGCCACCAGAGCTCCCTTTATAAAGTTATACAAGACCTTTATTTCCTATCTGAAGCCAAGATTATATAATATAAATATTAAAAGTTATCATAGCTGCATATAGATGGAGGTTACAGGGCTGTCCTGTGATTGAATTTCAACTGATTCTAGTGAAAGAAGAAAAAGACTTCAATCAAACATGTTAAAATGATTGACCATCTCTTGGTTGATCATTACATCTTCCTCTCATCTCTTTTTAAATCGTATTGTATTTAACCCATTTGAAGACGTTTGCTTTGTCCTGTCCCCAAACAAAAGGATATCCTTATATGCATATAAAATAACTGCTCATAACAATCTTATTTTTCAACTTCTTTGATTTTAATCTTTAACACTACATATGAGTCACTTGTGTGTAAATAAGAAGGAAGAGAGACAAGATGACATGTTGTTCTATACCATTGAATCAAAACAGACTTATAGCTGACCCTCCAGTGAGTTTTCAGAGGCCCTTAATCCTATGGAAGGAGATTGCTTATCTTTCTCCAGCAGGGGAGCTGGTGGATTTGTACCATGTTTCAGGATTGCAGTGCAGCTTCTTAACCACTAGGCTGCCAGAGCTCCCTAAGATTACATGGGAAACATTTTATTGTTAAGTAAGCATTAAATGAAATTGTAATGTATACTTTAGTCAGTCTGATAATTTGAATGGTGCAATCGAATGAATTCACTAATGAGAATACAATGACAGAAATTTTGGCAGATAAAATCTATTCCATATGTGGTGCCACTAATACAAATGGGAGAATAACTAATCTTAAAGAAGAAGATCTGGCAGCATCTCTTCCTATAAATCCTTTATTACATTCACATAGTAACTGGGTTGGCCATTTATTTTAGATAATTGCCTTTATCTTCTGATTTTCAGCAGTAGATCTACATGTCTACCCTCCCCTAGTCAATTAAAAAAACTTCATTGATCAAAAAATATTGTCTTAGCTACAACTTTTTACTTCAAATAGCCATAACTACACCTGTCACAGTGCTGATTCTATCACCTTTTATTTTTCACCAGGGCCGTTCCATGTGATAGGACCAAGCACAGCAGTTACTGCCATAGTAGGAGAAGAGATTGTGTTCTCCTGCCATCTCAGACCACCAATGGATGCTCAGAACATGGAGGTGAGATGGTATAATCTCCATTTAGGCCTGGTACATCATTATAAGTCTTCCCAGGATCATACAGAACATCAAAGTCTAGAGTACCGAGGGCGGACAGAGTTCCTGAAGGAGAATATTACCACTGGGCAGGTGGCCCTGAGGATTTGTCATATTCACTCTTCAGATGAAGGGGAGTACAGTTGTTTCTTTTCAAGTTCCACATACTACCATGAAGCATAATTCCAACTACTTGTCATAGGTGAGCTTCTGAAATAAAAAATAGTAAGTTATCTAAACTGTTAGAATACATATTGGTACAAATGGACAAGGGTGATTTAATTTTTAAAAACACTAGTGGCATCCACTTCCTAAATAACATGCCTCCAGAAACTCTATGAACTTGGATAAATGTCGATAGTTGTAGAGGGGGTTTAGGCCTTTTGTTCATAGGGTCGCTGTGAGTCATGCTTTGCTTGAAGGCAATCAACAACAACAAAAACAACAATGTACTACCAAGAATGTTAAAACAGTGAAAGGCATCAATTCTTCTTCTGATATCCTTGGTCATTGTTCAACTCTCTGGTGCATAGCAAGTAATTGCAATGATGATGGCCTGGATTGGGTGCACCTTAGTCTCTAGACTGACACTGTTGTTCTTCAGCTCTATGGAGAGGTCCCTAACAGTAGATTTTCCCAAAGCAACTTGTTTTTTGGCTTCCTGACTGCTGGTGTCAAGAGTGTTGATTGTGGAACCAAACAAGCTGCAATTGTTAACAACCTCAGTCTCTTCTCCATCTATCATTGGTCCAATGGTGAGAATCTTTGTTTTCTTGACTTTGAACTTCAATCCATATTGAAGACTATAGTCCTCGACTTTCTCCAGCAAGAGCTTCAGGTTCTCTTCAGCTTCAGCAAGCAAGGTTGTGTCATCTGCATAACAGATTGTTGATGAGTCTTCCTCCAATTCTGATGCTACATTCCTTCTCATAAAGCTCAGCCTCTGGAATTATCTGTTCTGCATATAGATTGAAAAAGTATGGAGACAGGATGAATCCCTGATGCAGTCCTTTCCCTGATTTTGAACCATGCAGTGTTTTCTTGCTCTGTTCTGAGGACTGCTTCCTGGTTCAAGGATAGGTTTCACATACACACAATCAAGTGTTCTGGGATTCCCATTCTTCTCAATGTTAGTCACAATCTGTTGTGATCCACACTGTCAAATATGCCTTTGCAAAATCAATGACACAAATAGACATTCTTCTGGTATCCTTTGCATTTGGTCAAGATCCATCTGATATTGGCCATAATGTCTCTTGTGCTACAGCCTCTTCAAAATCCAGCTGCACTTCTGGTAGTTCCTGTCAATGTATTGTTCCAGTCATTTTTGGATAATTTTCAGCAGGATTTTGCTTGGGTGTGATATTAGTTATATTGTTGATAATTTCCACACTCTGTCAGGTCACCTTTTTTTTTTTTTGCAATGGGAATCAATATGGATCTCTTCTAGTATGTCCTCCAGATTTTTGGCAAAACCTGGTGAGTGCCTCCAGGGCACAATATATTTGTTGAAATATGTCACTTGATATTATTCCATCAATTCCTAACCTTGAACTTCTTCCTTCATCACTATTGGCTCTTGATCATATGTTGTTTCTTGAAATTTTTCTGTCAGTCAATTCTTTTTTGGTACAGTGACTCTGTGTACTCCTTCCATCCTCTTTTAATGCTTCTTGGATCATTCAATATTCTGCCTACAGAGCGCTTAAGTATTACAATTTGCAACTTGAGCAAATTCATCCCTTTTGGTTTTCTGACTCCTACTCTTTGCACATTTCATTATAATAGTTAACTTTGTCTTCCCGCACTG